CGGAGCCGGCGGAGTGGAGGCAGTTGCAGCGGCAACGGGAGTGTCTTGGACCCCGCGGAGCGGGCGGTGATCCGAATTGCAGGTAACACCCGTGGCGAGCCGCCCGGCTCTGCGCCCCGCTTCCAGGCGCCTGCTGTGCGCGGCTGCAGGTGTGGGCTGGAGAGCTGCCAGAGGGATTGCCGGCAGAAACAGCCTCCTGTCCCAGGCGCGTCGCACAGCACAGCGCCACCTGCTGGCCCCGCCCGCCCGGTGTGAGGCCCGGAGCTGGGCTTCTGGCTGGGGGTGCCCTTGGCCCTTGGCAGGAGCGTGCCCAGATGTGAAGGCAGCAGTCTCTTGGGTTCCTGGGGCAGGGCTGCCATCAGCTCCCCTGGACTCAGCTGCCACATGGGAGCAGGACAGAGCGGTGCCTGTCAGCCCCCTCCTTCCAGTGGCTGCCAGCCTGGGTGAGGGCGGAGGAGGCCCTGCAGGATGCTCACAGAGCCAGCAGCTGGAGGGCTGTCCCCGTTTTGGGAAGTCGGTGGCCTAGGGCTGGAGGCCACTGGTAGGCTGTGCTGGGAAGGGAGGAGCCAATGAGAGGTCTTGCTCAGGCTGTTGCTGGGGGCGCCCCTCCTGGGGGGAACGATGCCCTGCCAGAGGCCCAGAAGGTGGCACCTAGGCTGTTGCAAGAGGGTCAGAGGCCGATCTGGGCCAGCAGGTGGTGCCGTGGGCAGAGGCCTGGCACCTGGAGCACAGGCAGCGCTTGTGGGCAGAGAGGGGCAGAAGACAGGGAGGGAGACGGCCCTGGTCCAGCCCCAGGGCTGCTGGGGCTTGTGCAGAGCTCGGTCTTTCTCACAGCTTGAATAGATTTTGAAGAATGAGGTCGTGTTTCCCCACGTGGAAGGGTCACCTTGAATGCCCACCTCAGTGCTCTGCAGCATCGCCCTTAAAGGTGCAGGGAGTGGGGCTGACAGGGTGCCATAGAACGTCACTGTCCCTGTCCCCGCAGCCCCGCTGGTGAGGTGCCCTCAGCTTTCACTGCCACCAGCTGTGCCGAGGCGGGCACCCTGGAGGTCGGCATGCTGGCGCCATGGCTTTCACAGGCCTGAATCCTGGGAGTGGGACCTCTGGCCATGGCAGGGCATGCAGCAGTGAGGGGTGGAGCCAGGTATTGCTGGGGCGTTCCTCAAAGGATACTTATGGAGGCTGGCAGACCAAGGATCTGCCAACCCAGTGGGTGGAAAGGCATTTTTCTTTTTTTTGAAAAAAATTTTATTTTATTTATTATTATTATAATTTCTCAACTCACCATGGAGAGAGAGAAAGTGAGAAAGCAAGCCACCATGTTTGCCAGGTCCAGGACCCAACCAGGATTCAAACCATAGTGGGCCATGTGAGCCATCACACCACCTGCTGGTCCCAAGAATTCTTTTTTTTTTTTTTGAGAGGTTTTTGTTATAGGGCGCGTGCGCTTGCCAGAAAGACAGAGAGAGACAGAGAGACAGAAAGCAAGAAATCACCCCTTAGGGAGGATGGCCACGCTGCCATCCCTTCTCCTTCATTCTCCTCTCAGGATCTTGGGCATGCACACACACGTGCCTGGTGTGAGTTTAAGCCTCTGGGTCCAGGACTCGAACCACGGTTGACTACACTGGAGTCCAGTGACATAGCCATTACGCCAACTGCTGGTCCCAAGAATTTGTCTTTTGAAAGAAAAATTTAAGTGCCTTTTTATTCTGTAAACTGCTTATTCTAGTCCTTTTTATAAGTGCATTTTTTTTTCAGAGGTTTTTGCTATAGGGTGCATGCACTCGCCGGGAAGACAGAGACAGACAGAAAGCGAGAAATCACCCCCCAGGGGGAATGGCCACACCACAATCCCTTCTCCTCCATTCTCCTCTCAGGATCTTGGGCACGCATGCACGCGTGCCCGGCGTGAGTTTAAGCCACTGGGTCCAGGACTCGAACCGCCGTCAACTACATGGGAGTCCAGTGACATAGCCATTATGATAACTGGCTCCCTATAAGTACATTTTTAAAAAATAATTATTTAACTTTATTTTAATTTGACCAGAGAGAGACAGAGGAAAGTGAAAAAGCAAGCCACCAGGTCCAGGACTGGAACCAAGGTCGGCCATGCGGGCGTCCAGCGCCCTTAACCACCACGCCTTCTGCCGGCCCCTCTAGTCCTCTTAAGTGTGATTCTCTCCCGTGTCCGAAGGGCCCTTTCTGTGTTGAAGACACCAGCACCCTACCCAATGCTGTCTGGCGGGACTTCGAAGGAACACGGGGTGGGGAGGTGGGGATGGGGGTGCTGGGTGGCCAGGTGAGCTCGCGGGCTGGCCGGGCGCCAGGACCAGGCCAGGGGCTGGGCTGGAGGGCGGCCCCCCGGGGGCGGGGGCGGGCACAGA